TTTTTCAAACATAAACAGCAGAATTGCGTTTCTCTACAAAGCAAGTCGTGCCAATCGACATCGGCAGCAACACGGTCGACCACGACAGAGGAAGCGTATCTAGGCCGAGTTTTCAAGGTTATACTTGCCGTTTAGGATAAATCTGTTTTTGCTATACGCTGAATTTCCTAACACTACCTACTTCTAACCTTGTGTAACGCTCAAGTTTACTGCATCTGTTTCAGTCTCAGAGATATCACGGTTTTATTTAGACCTTTAGAATAAAACTACTTTTTCGCTAGACGCTGAATTTAACTAAGATATCTACTTCTAACCTTGTGTGATGCTCAAACTGCATCTGTTTTAGATAATGGTCAAAAAGCCATTGTGGACTCTTCTTATCACTGATCGCTAGATGCTCATAAGAAACACTGCGTTTCCACTCTGGCGCAATGGAATTTCTGAATCGACTTCAAACAAGGAATGGCTGCATGTGTAAGGAAAGCGAAAAGAAGTAGTGGATGAAGAGTACTAGAAAAGCCCTTAGCAATGACATTACGGTGAGTATAATATGTACAGCTTTTACGAGTTTGAATTAATAAAAATATTGTCTTGAAAGCTTTTACTGTTGCTGCGCCACTCAATTAACTTGTTTCATCTTTCTCGTTTGTAGAGATCTATTATTGAAAAGCATAAGAAATAGCTCGTCAAGTATGTAATCAAAAAAGTTTCCTGTTTGAATAAAAAAAGTGAAGTTAGCATGATTTACCAAACTTGCTTCAGGTCAAGCTCTTCGCTCGTCAAGAAGTTTGCACACAAGTTCGGACTCTTGGTACTAGCAAAAGGATTTTTTAACGATAGTTTTGCAAATCTTGTCTTTCGATCTTGCTGATGATATATTTCTGTTAGTATTATGATGAGAAAAATATTGACAATCTTTACTAATGATGTATTGTAATTATTCATTTTGCACAGCACATCAATACATGATTACAGGTGTTAATAGCATGGATAGCATTTATGTATGCACCGAATCAAAATAATTCTAAGAAGTAAGCAATTTGGAAAATAACTATCAAATATAACGAACAATTATCAAGTAGAAAGCAGCGAACCTGAAGAGTTATGACTGCTTCCAAACCTGGTTTGAGCTTCTGAGATTGTTCATTTCTGGGACCATGGAGAGCTGCTCTACCTAAAAAAGATTTTAGATACGAATTGGAATGAGATAACAATAATACACATAAGAAGTGCTATGGGAAAAAAATCACTACTTCAGGGGTGGTAGTAATCCCCCCAAATTTATCACATTAAGAACGAGCCATACTCGTGACAGCTCCCAACATGGCTTGAGCTAATTACGAGCATGGCGTGAAGTTTTTCTGTAGGTTTGACGACAGACGCAAAACTTGCACCTCTCATCGCCATCGAACCTGCGTTGAACGAAAGTCAA